AATCAAGCCAACAAAATTAAGCTAAAGCTAAGAACAATTACAAGAACAAGACGAAAAAGCACACACATAATCAAAGACAGAATCGAACAAGACTTACTGATTTTGAGCATTCGACTGACCATGAGACGAATTTTGACCGGCTATCTGTTGTTTGAATCCTCCGGGATTCTTGACACGTAACATCCCTAATCGTGTGTTTTCAAAAGAAAACACGTGATTAGGGAAATTACGGTCCAAAATCCCCAAGATCTCTGAGCTAGGGTTCTGCCGGACTTTGGGACTTACAATTCGTAACGTTCCGGGCAGATTCGAGACAAGTGGCTATGGGGGTTGGGTAGAGGAGACTTAAATGAACCTAGGGTATCGATTTGGGACCATTTGGCATACTTTGGGTCTTGGCCGGAAAATATTCAAATCGAGATTCGACCAATTCCAGGCATATTCGAGAGAAACTAACCGGGGATTTGGATAGGGAAAGGGAAAAGGGACCTAGGGTGTTAATTTAGACCGATTTGTGAGAAGTTGTGTCATGGCCGGAAAAATCTTCGATCTAATATTCGACGCTTTGGAGTGGGATTCGAGACAAACCAAGACGGGGGTTGGAAAGAGGAGAGGACACTGGTTCTAGGGTGTAAATTTGGGATGATTTGGACGCCGGCCGCCGCCGTGAGCGATTTCCGGCCGGCGGCGGACGACGGAGGGACGGTGGTAAACGGCGGTGTTACGGTGGGTCTCTGAGGGATGGGGTGAGAGAGAGACGAAGGGGTGGGGGGTAGAGATTCGGACATATAAATATTAAACAAACCCCAGTTCCGGACCGTTGGATCAACAGAGATCAACGGTCCTGATTTGGTCTGTTAAAACGGGGTCGTTTTGGATTACTGGGGGAGAGACTGGGTTCTAGGGGCGGGTCGTGGGCCAGTTTGGACGGGTATGGGAGTGGGTTTGGGGAAAACGTTTGGGCCTGGGGCTTGGAAATTAAAGATGGCCCAAACAGACTTATATTTCTATTTCTTTTCAATTTCAAATCTTTTTCTTTCTTTTCTAAATAAAACCTATATTAATTTTAAACCAAAATTATCCTACCAAATTAGATTAATGTTTAAAATAATATTTACAACAACTAATTAAGTACCGAATTAAAAGAAAACTGCAAGATTCGCAGCTAAATGCAAAATGTGTTATTTTTTGTGATTTTCTATTTTTGTAACACAAATAGATTACTAACTAATTTAAAAAAATGCCAAATTAAATCCTAAATGCAAATGCAACATATTTTTTGTATTTTTCATGAATTAAATAAAATAAACATGCACAAACAAATGCAAAAAATTAACACAAAAATGCCACAAAATTCAAAAAAAATTGCAAATAATGAAAAGAAATTATTTTGTTTGAATTTTGGGAATGATTCATATATAGGGCAAAAATTACGTGCTCACAACCAACGACCGCTTCTGCATTCCCCTATCCGCATATGCGGACCCCGCTTCTGCGGATACTTGTTCGCTTCTGCGGAAACACCAAGGCCTCACCTTTTCGCACCAGCGACCATTCTACCGCATCTGCGGCCTCGCAGATGCGGCTCCCCCTATCGCATCTGCGGATTCTTCCATCCCAGCCAATGACCGCCTCTGTGATCTTTCTTCCGCACCTGTGACACCGCATCTACGGTTCCTTTTCCGCAGATGCGGAAATACCAGATACCAGATACCAGATATACAGCAATCTTACCAAGTCCAAAATCATCCCGATGGCCATCCGAAATTACCCCGAGGCCCCCGGGACCTCAACCAAAAATGCCAACCCATCCTAACACATCATTCACACTTGCTCCAACCCTCAAAACACCATAAACAACACCAAAACCATCAAATTACATCGAATTTAAGCCTAAGTTCTTCTAAAACTTCCGAATTACGCATTTGATCAAAAACCCGACCAAAACACCTCCGAATGACCTGAAATTTTGCACACACATCCAAAATCACCTAACGAAGCTGCAGCAACTCTCGGAATCCCATTCCGACCCTCGAATCAAAATCTCACCTATCAACCGGAATTCGCCAAAATACTAACTTCGCCAATTCAATCCTAATTCTACACCGGACCTCCAAAATCAATTCCGATCACACTCCTAAGTCACAAATCATCCCCCGAAGCTAACCAAATCACCGAAAATCACATCCGAGCCCTCTAACTCACAAGTCAACATCCGGTTGACTTTTCCAACACAAACCTTCCTTAAAGAGACTATATGTCTCATTTCCATCCGAAACCAATCCAATTCGACTCATTCACTCAAGACTCTTATAATAAGACATAAGGAAGCAGAAAATGGGGGAAACGGGGCGGTAACTCACGTGACGACGGGCCGGGTCGTCACAGTGTGGCATATTCACTACCACTAGCACGTTCATATTCTTTCGAGAATGAATATGTATTCATAAATCAGATGTTGTCACATTCACATCATGAATGGACCATAATCATCTGTATATGCTTTATAAAATCTCATGTCAAATCGATGACAAATTTCACAGAGTGAAAGATTATTTTGAGAATCCTTATTATTCTCATTACCACAATAATGACGATTATAATTTCGTCTATTGCCACGTCCACATCCATTGATACCTTTACAGTAATAATTTTGTCTTCTTTCAGACTTATCACATATTTGCTAGCACATTCTCTTAAGGGAATGAGAATGAAGCAAATCTAATGGGACGTATTTCCACTTTTTGTGGTCCTAATCATACATGAATTTGATCATAGCAAGACATAGAAATTTTACCACTTTGAGTGATTATAATTTCTTACAAACTCTATTAGAGTTATAATCAAAATTTATTGTCTTTGCCCGTATTTAAAATAAATTTATAGAATGTCAAGAATTTAAAAGAGAAAAATAAAGTAAAATACTTACCGTAAATCTAGAATTTAATTATGAAGGGAGTTCATGGAATAATTGACAATCATTATGATCAATCCTAAAGCTTCTACTCAATTGGTTAGAGTCTCGTGCTGATAACGTGTTATAAAACAATAAAAGAAAAAGAAGTGTATTGTAGAGAAAAGTAGAAAGACAAAATTCTTATTGATTTGGGATGAATTACAATGGAATAGAAATCCTATATTTATAGGGGAAAAGTGACTTAACCGCCAAGTAACAAACCCTAAAATCTTTTTAAATATAGACATTCACCTTAAATATAATTCTATTTAGAACACTTACATATTTCTTGTTAACTTTTAGAAGAGATCTCGTGATGATTGTTAACGAGAATCTCGTGAAACAAAATTTCAAATCAATATTACCGAACATAAAATGCTTTGAAGAAATGGGTTTTCAGTTAAATTTACTCGTTAGTGACAAACTTCAACTGTTCAAATAATATTTATAATTTTATATTATAGGGGTAATAGATATCGATTGACAACTATTTCCAAAAATTTTACTATTGGTTTACGATTGATATATCAAAAATCTGATTTATGAACTAATAGATCTTCAATACTTGCCAATTCGCGAGGAGCCAGATCAAATTGAAGAATTCCAATGTTTCAAAAATAAGCAAATTATTTTCCCAATAATAGAGGAATTGTGTTCGATTTTATTTTGTGGATAGTTTAATGTACTTTAACACATCATGCTAATTGGCCACAACTTAGTTACTATTACCTTTATGTAATTTTCTAATTTTCCTTTTTCTAATTTACTGTTTGGAATGGAGAACTTCTTGGTAAGGAGCGTTTTACTCTTTTAGTAGATTTATTCGATGTAAATCCTGATTAGTTGGTCTAAAAAATAATTTCATAATTTACTCTTTGCTAACTCGGTTCTTAGTAGGCTAACCTTGCCAATAAATTTTTACTTTTTATTTCATAAGCTTTGGAAGAACTGTAATAACTCAATTTCGACAAAGTTAAAGATTATATTTTTTGGTAGAGCAAAGTAAACATCACACCAAATCCTGTTGGTTCCCAAAATTATCTAAAGAAATTTCATTTTTTTTCTTTATTTTCCATTTCATAATTTATTTGGAAAGCAAAACCTCGTATCATGTGCTCTTATTAGAAATTATCTAAATTCTTCATCAGTTCATTGTCCGTATAAGTGCTCCATTTAAATCAAGGTGAATTTAGTATTTAAATTTAATGAGTTCAGCTTTTAGTATTCTCAACATTAAATCTTATTGTTGGAATTATAAGTTCAAAATTTACATATATATTTATGTTTCGTATAGAAAATACTCGATTCAATTGAACCTTTTTTTTCTTTCTTCAAAAGCTCCCTATGCCATCTACCTCTGTTAAAACACAGATATACTGTAAAATATTTTGCCTGTCAGTGTATCTAAATTTAAATCTTTATAATAAAGACTTCCCCCTCCCTTTTCCTTTTCGGCCTACAATACATCAGGCAGCTCCCTGGGAAGGGTCGGACCTCAGAGGTCTATTATACGTAATCTTACCCTGTATTTCTGTAAGAGGTTGTTTCCATCAGAGGCGGATCCAAGATTAAACTCTATGGGTTCAACTTTTAAAGTTTTTAGCATTGAACCCATTATATATTTAAAGTTATGGGTTCATATCTACTATTTTTGCAATTTTAATGAATTTTTACACAGAGATTTTTACTCCGCGTCGAAAGTTATGGGTTCAATTGAACCCGTTCCTAACAAACTACATCCGCCCCTGGTTTCCATGGCTCGAACTCGTGACTTCGTGGTCACATGAAAGCAACTTTACCAGTTACGCCAAGGCTCTCATTCGTAGCATTAACAAAACCAATTAATTAGAAGTAGTTTGCGTATATATATAAAGTTTTCTTTTGTAGACTGTTTCATCCACTTCCTACAGAAGGATATGTCTGTTTAGTTGATGATCATTACTATACTTGTGCTTGTGGGGCAATGGTTCATTCAAGTGAAGAACACATATATAATATTTCCAGCTCTTGAACTTGCGCTTTGGCGTGGCACAGAAGCAAAAATCAAAGACTCTTCCCACGAATTCCATATATCATTCCTCTTCTTTCCTTAAAGCAAACATTTTATATTCTTACACATTTCACACACACACACACACTCATTTATAACACCTTCTCCTGCCTGCCTCTTTCTCTGGACATTCAAATTTCACACTTGACACGTTGGATCAATCGCCTTCCTTATATATGGACATGATTATCTCTTCATCTGCGGCTTTGTTGAGTGCTCGTAATGGAATTACTAGCCAAGTTGGATTGTTATGGCAGCAAACTAAAGCTCCTTTGATTGCGCCATTGTTAAGAATATTGTTGTTTGTGTGTTTGGCCTTATCGTTTATGTTATTTGTGGAGAGGCTTTATATGGGCATTGTCATTGCTTTTATAAAGTTGTTAAGGAGAAAACCAGAGAAAAATTACAAATGGGAGCCAATGAAAAAGGATGATTTGGAGTTGGGAAATTCTTCTTATCCTGTGGTTTTAGTGCAAATACCAATGTACAATGAAAAAGAGGTGCTCAACTTTAGCATATTTTTGTAGCTCTTAAAAAAAAAAAAAAAGTAGTCCGGTGCACTAAGTTCCCGCTATGCGCGGGGTCTGGGGAAGGGCAGGACCACAAGAGTCTATTATACGCAGCTTTACCCTCCATTTCTACAAGAGGCTGTTTCCACAGCTCGAATTCGCGCGTGACCTCCTGGTCATATTTTTGTAGCTGTGCTTTCAATAAATGGCTTAAAATTGTTGAAATCTTATATACTTTCTTTGATTTGTTACTCTGCAGGTTTATCAGTTGTCAATTGGAGCTGCCTGTAACCTTTCATGGCCAGCAAATAGAATCTTTATCCAAGTCCTTGATGATTCTACTGACCCTGCAATTAAGGTCCAATATTCCCTTTTAAATCTACCAACAAACAAAAAAAATGGAAATTGTCATCATTTCTACTAGTTAAAATGAAGCTTGTAGAAGTGGAAAGTCCACAATTGTAGTAACTTCCAAAATTAGCATAGGCTATTACTAGAAAAACAATACTCCACTAGACAATGATCTGATTTTAAATGACTGGCAAATTTACCTAACCTTAGAGTTTAATTTCTATATACTGATATGGTAAAAGAATTCTTATATTATCAGTTCACCTAAAAGATAATCACGTAAATGTCCATGCTGCAACAAGTTAAAATACGCAGATAGTGAAACAATCTTTATTCTGTCAGCATATATGTTGAATCCTGATTTAAATGCTGAAACTGTAATAAACAACAGGCTTTGGTGGAGAAGGAGTGCAGCAGATGGGCAAGCAAAGGTATTAACATAAAGTATGAGATAAGAGACAATAGGAAAGGGTATAAAGCTGGGGCTCTCAAAGAAGGAATGAAGCATAGTTATGTAAAGCTTTGTAGTCATGTGGCCATCTTTGATGCTGATTTTCAACCCGAGCCTGATTTCTTGGAGCGCGCCATTCCTTTTCTTGTACACAACCCTGAAATTGGACTCGTTCAAGCTCGTTGGGAATTTGGTAAATATCTTTTCCTCTTTCTTTATAAAAAAGTGAGTCAAGTGAACGTATGAATGAGGGGAGCTCGCGCAACTATTAGGTTGTTTTGGTGTGATCAAAAGGTTACGAGTTCAGACCGTAAAAATAACCTCTTGTGAAATTGTAAGGTACAGTTGCATACAATAGTAGGCAGCAGTAAGATTGTCGTTGTGTGATCAGGAAGTCACAGGTTCAAGCTGTGAAAATAACTTCTTGCAAAATTGCAAGGTAAGGTATAGTAGACTCAAGATGGTCCAGTCATAACCTCCTGTTCTATTACTACTTGACTTTGAAAACTTGTTAAATAGAGTAAAATCAACTGGTTGGTCGCACATAATTGGCTTGAGGGAAATTTGAGACTTGGGTATTACTTTGAAGACAAATTGACAGATCAGTGAAGTTTCATGTGAAAAATGTTTTAAAAAAGCTTGATATAAGAATAATGCTGGTTTTGCAGTCAATGCTGATGAGTGTTTGATGACAAGAATGCAAGAAATATCACTTGGTTACCATTTCACAGTGGAGCAAGAAGTTGGATCTGCAATCCATGCATTTTTTGGCTTCAATGGTAGGCTGCCCAACTCCCCAAAATATAGCTTTGGTATAATAAATCAGCCAAGCATTTGATATATTATTATTCTTGTTGTTGCTGTCATCGCATGATTAGATTACTTTGAGCATTACAATATAAGGAGATACAAATAGCATAATATATAGGAGATAATTAATTTAGAGCAAATACTTTCAACTCTAATACAATTTCAAGTTCCCTAGATATGTTGAGAACATTTAAGCATCTCAATTATGCTACTTTACATATAATCATTTGCTTGAAAATTTGGTATTAGAAAATGGATAATTTGAATGCAGGCACTGCTGGAGTTTGGAGAATGTCAGCTCTTAATGAAGCAGGAGGATGGAAAGACAGAACAACTGTAGAAGACATGGATTTGGCTGTCCGAGCCGGTCTCAATGGCTGGAAATTTGTCTATGTTGGTAACCTTAAGGTACAATAACACATATCCAGTTTAAGGATTTTACTTGTATACACGAATCGAAGACATTACTATCAACATATTTTAACTTGTTGTAGAAAGTGATAGTATTACGAAGAGAAATGATTGAAATCTAAACTTGAAGTTGAAGTATAGAATGAAAAGGGTCAAGAGATGTTCTTTTTATCTTATCGGTAGGAAAAAATTCTCAAAAAAGGGCAGCCCGGCGCACTAACCTCCCGCTATGCACGGGGTCCGGGGAAAGGCCGGACCACAAGGTCTATTGCATGCAGCGTTACCGTGCATTTCTGCAAGAGGTTGTTTCCACGGCTCGAACCTATGACCTCCTGGTCACATGGCAGCAACTTTACCAGTTACGCCAAGACCATCTCAAGATAGTGGAAATGAAATGATGGTTCTACATCTCACATTGTTATTACTATTCATTTAGGAGTTAAAAAAATTCTTCTTCTTTTACCCTATTAGGTGAAAAATGAATTGCCAAGCACTTTTAAGGCGTATCGCTATCAGCAGCATAGATGGTCTTGTGGACCTGCTAATCTTTTCAGAAAAATGGCAATGGAAATTGCAACTAATAAGGTATGCTATATGAAAGTCTCCTCCTTGTTTGATATTCACTTAAACATGACAATATATGGAAATATTCAACAACTAAAATTAAGCTGTTTGATCATTGCAGAAGGTCTCTGTATGGAAGAAATTTTATCTGATATACAGCTTCTTCTTTGTCCGAAAGATCATTGCACACATTGTGACGTTCATCTTGTATTGTGTTGTTATGCCTGCAACCGTTTTCGTCCCTGAAGTCCAAGTGCCTAAATGGGGAGCTATTTATATTCCTTCAGCTATTACTCTTCTCAATGTACTTGGCTCTCCAAGGTAGAGAAAAGGAAAACTTAACTTTGTATTGGCATGTATTTAGTTAATTCTTTGTATCTTTCTTATTTATGTATGATCTTTTTCAGATCAATGTACTTGGTGGTTTATTGGATCCTGTTTGAGAATGTAATGTCCCTCCATCGGACAAAAGCAACGTTCATCGGCCTGTTCGAGTCAGGAAGAGTCAATGAATGGATTGTGACAGAGAAATTGGGAGATGCTCTCAAGACAAAAATGGGAACAAAAGCACACAAAAAACTTCGTTTTCGAGTTGGAGAAAGGTATAACTCACTCCAAATATTTAGAAGTGAAAAAATAAAAATAAAGGCGAAGAAAAGATAGGTTTGGAAACTAATTTGCTATCTTGTTTAATGGCAGGGTACATCTTCTTGATCTTTTTGTTGGACTGTACCTCTGGTTTTGCGGGTGGTACGACTTTTCTTTTGGGAAGAGTAGGTTCCACGTATACCTGTTCCTCCAAGCTGCAGCATTTTTCGTTGTTGGGTTTGGCTATGTTGGTGTGTTTGTTCCCAATTCGTAGTCTGAAATTGAAATTCTTTTTGGTAAAAATTTAAGTTATTTTGTAAAATTATGATAAATAGATTGAAATTCTTTTATATCGATGTGTATACGCAGCTAAGCGCATGCTTTGATTGTAATGTTCTTTTTTGCTTTTTCATGTATTAGTCAAGGAGTAAGGCAGAAGAACTTAAGAAGTGAAATACCAAAAGGGTTGCTGGGTTTATAACCCAAAAAGAATAGAGTATATGGTAAGCATTTTAGGTCCCTTGTAATATGTTGTAAAACTCATTGAATATGAATAACCTGCATATTCAAATATCAGCACTAGAAGAATCTGCATTTTCAAATATGCTGACGACACCTTTCTCGCTTCATCTTTTGAGACTTCTCAATTACTCTGTGCATTTTTTGTCTGATTAAATACATGAAAAATAATTTCAACAGTACTGAAATAACACCTTTGGAGCCACTAGAATAACTTCATTGAAGAAATCAGAGGCTTTTATGTCTAGCAAAATGGTCAAATGTCATGAAATCTATAGAAACTGCTGGAGTCAATGAAAACACCAGCTTAACAGACTTGAACACATATCTTCAGGTCATCTAGTCCTTTCAGAAAGGTTGGTTCCTTCAAGTGAAATTCTTACAGAAACATAAATATGTTTGCCTTCACGTCACTATACCGAAACAAATAACGAAGTTAGGATAATTCTGTCACATATTTCAAGAGCAGAAAACCACTAGAACAAGAGTTGGTTGCCTTATCCTTCACCAATCCACTAGTAAACCTTAACCATACAACCTTCTTTCCTCAATCATAAAGCCACTTCAAAAATATTTTATGAACAGCACATCTATGTCCTTTCATATTCTAACAAGGTCATCAAAAGTAGAAACAATCAAAACAGTGGACCCTTAAAAACCTCTTTACCTATCAAGAGAGGTAAATAAGATCCCTCCAAGCAATTGTCATATGCACTTTTCCAAGTTACAACTGATCTCCCACAAAAGGCTAATGAGGAGAACTTGTGAATTAGTTAAATAAGCATCATAAGAGCATAGCAACTAAGGTGATTCTGAAATTTGGGGCTGTCAATGACTACTTCTTTTAGAGAATATCGGGAGCACATAAAGGCCACACTAAAAGCAAACAAGAAGTACTATGCCGCAACCCCAAGCAACTATATGAATCCTCACTGTCTATGTCGCTCTACCTACGAAAGACAAACAAAATAAAAAAAAAAACTTTTGGGAGAAGTTTGCTCGAGAGAAGCTTAACTAGCCAACGGTTCCATTTGAATAAGGCCTCAAAAGTAAGCAGATCCAGACTCTATGTGCACATACATATCCATCGTAGTGATAACACTGATTCAGTAACAACATTGAGAGAATTACAACAACAAACAACAACAAACCCAGGGTAATCCTACAAGAGGTGTCTGGGAACATTGAGAGAAATCAGTGTTACATTTCCATTGCTGCACATTATTAATAAATCAATATTTCAGAGTGGAGCCATTCAGACATCTGAGCAAAACTGAAAGTACATCCAGAATTATCTGGTAATAAGGAAATACCAAGAACTTTGGTGAAACAAATATCTATTGAATAAGCACTGACGCTAATCGCTTCGACTGATATCCTGGAAAAGTGAACAAGAGAATCTACAAAATTTAAACAAGCTTACTGCTTTGAAGAAAGCCATGTCAACAAATTGACTGGACCTGAAAGAAGATGTTTGTGAACTGGCTAGCTGAACTTCTTATCAATTTAAGTTGATATTCGTTGCGAACTACCTTTATGAAATTTAATCAAGATTATGTCTAAGGGCATCATACCCTGCTTTTATCTTCTAACTTCTGGTGACCTTTCTCTGAAATTGTCTCCAATATGTCATAGTGACCGTAACCATGAAACAAGACATTAATAGGATTCTCTCCTTCCTTCCTATATTCTTCGCCATAATTTGATATATTTATTAAACTGCCTGAGCTTCTATCTACCATATAGACAGAAACTGGGGACCTGCAACCAAAAATCAAAAATATATATGAACGAAATTGAGCAACAGATTCCAGAATCAAAGCCTTAACCAATGTCATGCAGAGAGAAATCATATAGACATTAAGAAATGAGCTTGTTAAACAATCCTCCTACTTGATTTGACTTGAAAACAACAAAGTAAAGTCAACGATAGTGGAGATAACTAACAATTCTTAAATAACATAAAGGAGCCTTCTTTCGTTATCTGAAATGAGCTTCTTAAGTGCATATAAACAAGCCATGTTATGCTACCTAATATTACTAAAATCACAATATAACGTGCTTTAACTCTTTTTTTCCTCCCAGGCAAAAGCTTAATTTCCTTTCCTCGCCCTTTTCTCATTATAGCATTACTACCTTTTGTCGCAAATACACGACATCAACACCTCAAAAACATATTTAGTTGGATTAAAAAATGAATAGACAAAATGATCAATCATGAAACAGAAACAACACTCACTTAAGAACATGAGAAGCCATTAGTAGCTCTGGTTCTCCTCCCCACACGTATGGCTTTTCAATTCTTTCTACGTATGCATCAAAATCCCCTTCAATAAACCTACATAACATAAAAATAACACATAACCATAAACCATTGGAACTGCATATCCAGAGGAAACAAATATGAAAGAAGCAAAAAGCAGATACCATTCAGCTTCTTTTCGCCTCTTTAACAGCTCATCAACAACCTGCGCAATCGAAAAACAGTATTCTAATTTATTTCCAATGTCTATATTTTTAAAGACAAAAGCAAAAGAAAAGAAATTGAAGATACCTGAGCTCTTAATTCATCAGCAAGTTCTCTCTGTCGATTCTCATCAGGAGCTCCTTCCCCATTTCTTAAACAAGCCATGTGTGCTATTGCTCTAAATAGACATCTCCCATCTGCTGGAACCCCTGTTACATTCACCTTTCAATTTGTCAATTATCCAGGCAACTTGGAAATTTAGTCACTAGAAAACTCAACCAAATTCCAAATTAGTTTCTCAATAAAATCCAAATAATGCACTCCTCATCAGTTTATTCCATTTTTTCACATAGAATAAAAAGGGCAGCCCAATGCACTAAGCTCTCGGTATACGCGGGTCCGGGGAAGGGCTGGACCGCCGGGGTCTATTGTACCCTTACCCAGCATTTCTACGAGAGGTTGTTTCCACGGTTCATCCCGTGACATCCTGGCAACACCCCTTCTTTTCACATAAAATAATTGATACACATTAAATCCAGCAATTGGAAATCCTTGAATAATAAAACAATGATAGTATAATGAATATATGTTGTTGTGAAATGATTATAGTACCAGTGACCGTATAGTTGGCAGAGTTTCGATCAGCCTCATCTGAATTTACAGTATTGCTATCAAAACCTTGGGACTTGTTCTCAATCGGAGCAACAACATCAGAATTCGAATCAGGTAAATCAAGAGATGGCGCTGCTAAGCAAGAGCAAACACCAAAAAGGAGCCAAGCTGAGTCAGGATTATGGAGCCAACGCGCTGGCCTAGTATCCCACGCAACATTCCACGACCCTTCCCCTTTCTTAGCCAATACATAATGGTGGTGGTGAAACACCGTATTCCGCCGCTTTACATCCTTATTCCTCCTCCCGGCGGGAAGAATCGCATGCCATATTGAAGCTGCGCCACCTCGATTTACAGAAGCTCCAAGTCGGCAATGGCTAGAATGATGTCGCCTCTGTAACTGATCCGAACCTCCAACTAATACTGATTTGGTAGGTGTTCCGATTAGTCGGTTATAAGCCGCCGGCGCTGAGCCGTGGGCGTGAGATAGTGAGAGTGATGCAAAGAGCCAAGGTTTAGGACGTGCACAAAGTACTCCGAGCATCACCGGATTGAAAAGCTCTGTAACTTTTCAGATTTTGATTAACTTAAAACAATATAACGAAAATTATAAACCGAATTGGGCATCCATTGTTGTTGGTGAGAATTGAGAAGAGAGAGCTGCTGTTATAGAAGAAGACGAAGAAAATGCATTATTCGATTGGTGACGGCGATAATTAAACCAACTTTTTTAGTGTGAGAAACAAAATGATAAAAAATGTAAATGGGTTTTAGAGAGAGAAATCTGGCACAAATGGCATATTATGATTTGAGATGGTTAGCCTCGGCCGTGCGGTTCCACTACTCTGACCGCCATTCCCAAAGCATAATGACTAATTGACGAAATTAACCTCAAAGATCTAACTTTTGATTGAGATCAATTGAAGGGTAAATTAGTCATAAGGTAAATTAGTTGGCTCTGTATCACGTGTATGTCACGAATATTCGCTGGTGAGGAAAACGCTTTGGGTTGTTGAGTTACATGGATTTCCATGCAACTTTCAATTATCAAACCTAAATGATCACTATTGTTTTGTTGTGGGGATATTTATTTATTTAAATCTTTTTAAAAAAATAACACTAAGCCTTACTTTTTTCTTAAATATTTATGGTTGCCTTTAAGGTTTGGTGGCATATATATATATTTATATGAATCCTTTTGGAATCATATGAACAACTCAATCAGATTGTCTTTTTTCTTCTTCTAGCTTTTTTTTTATTTTATCAAGTGCTCTGTATCCATTTTGTAGTTCTAATTAATTTGAATTTGTACTACGTAAGGTTCAAGGAGAAATTGCTTTGTACCATAATTTTTTCATTCGTAAGGCTCGCTCGAGAATTAAGGATTACGGGATTTTATTCATCCCACCATCACTCGAGATGATCTTCTCGTAGTTTATTAAACATTCTTGATTAAATAAAAAAATATTAGTATTTCCTCCATTTTTTTTTATAGTGTTTGGTTAGATATGAAGTTATAAAGGAAAATATTTTATTTATAAATTTGTGAATGATCACTACAATTTTTTATTTCCTCCACATATAAAATAAGCTATCAGTTAATAGTATAAAATCTATTTCAACTAGAAACAGGAAAGCCTATTCCTATATTTATTCTAACTACAAATCCTATTTAGACATGAATTAAATAAATCAAATCCTAAATAACTAAGGTTTCCTACTACAACTTTGAATTAGTTTTCCAACATTCTCCTGTAATTCAAAGTTGTATACGTCTGGCTTGTTTGTTGTGCAGTTATGTTGGAGCACTTCTCTCCAACTCTCACTTTTAATGAAGCACATGTCTTCATCCCTCAATTTGTTGAAGCACATGTCTCCAACTCACGTTGATGCACTTTGTCACCAACCGTTGATGCACTTTGTCACCGATACTCAATTTTTTTGAAGCACCTGCCTCCAACTCACGTTGATGCACTTTGTCACCAACCATTGATGCACTTTGTCACCAACACTCAATATTTGTTGAAGCACCTCTCCAACTCATGTTGATGCACTTTGTCACCAACACTCAATTTTGTCGAAGCACCTGTCTCCAACTCACGTTGATGCACTTTGTCACCAACACCCGATTTTGTCGAAGCACCTGTCTCCAACTACCGTTGATGCACTTTGTCACCAACACACGATTTTTGTTGAAGCACATGTCTTCAACTCCCGTTGATGCTCTTTGTCACCAACACCCAATTTTGTTGAAGCACCTGTCTCCAACTCACTGATGCACTTTGTCACCAACCGTTGATGCACTTTGTCACCAACACCCAATTTTGTTGAAGCCTCTGTCTCCAACTCACGTTGATGCACTTTGTCACCAACACCCAATTTTGCTGAAGCACCTGTCTCCAATATCCGTTGATGCACTTTGTCACCAACCGTTGATGCACTTCGTCGTCAACACACAATTTTTCCTTCTTTTTTTTGTTTTTTTTGTTTTTTTTAACTTCTCTCCAACTTTTAGAGAAGAGAGTTTCTTCATCTTGTGCCATATTTGTTTGCACCTCTTTAAACTTATTTTTTTCTTGAATCTGTCTTGAAACTTTTTATCGTGTAATCTAATTTTGTTGACCTATTTATGATTTTGCCAACATATTTTTTGGCCAGACGGGCGGCACCCATTGGCTAGGCAACGGAAGCTACTTGATTCTCTCCCAAGATCGTAGAAGCTCTGATACCAATTTGAAGGAAAATATTTTATTATAACTCTCCCTGAAGGATCTCTCTACAATTCTTTATTTCCTTCACATATAAAATAAGCTATGAGTACCCCTATTTATAATAGTATGAAATCTATTTCAACTAGAAACAGGAAAGCTTATTCCTATATTTATTCTAACTACAAATCATATTTAGACAAATTAAATAAATCAAATCTTAAATAACTAAGGTTTCCTACTACAACTTTGAATTAGTTTTCCAACAAGTTAAAATTCTACTTCTCTTACTATTTATTAAATAAGTCGTACTTGAAAAATACTGAAGTAATAATGGAAAATTAATTTGATACAAAAACATCCTACATTTAAAAGTAGAATAGTTTAAGAATTGTAAAAATCTTAAAAGTTACAAAAAATGCATATTAAATATTTAGAAGTGGAATGGTCAAATGAGGTTTCAAATTTGAAGGAAAAAATAATGTCATGTTATTTGAGATGGAATATGCAATTACTTTAGAATTTGTCATCAGTTGTCTGTTAATTTTTGTGATACCACCAAAACTCCACAAGTCACTTAACTAACCAAAAAAATCATACACGTACCTTATTTGAAAATACTAGATAACTTTTATTGTTAGATTTGACTGTTCATTAGGGCACGGAGTCATTATGTTATATTCTACAAATTCAAGCTCAAATCAGACTACTTTTTTTCTTTCCCTTTTTTCTATTGTGGCCTTTCACACCCCAGAAAAGTTTTTTTATTTTTGAAAATTAAAAGTCAATAATTGGCGTAATGACGAAGTATAATTGGTCTTAGGCAAACAACAAGACTTTACACAAATAAAAAATTATTTGTTTATCTCGAGGATGTGCTTAACGATATAAATTCATTTTTCTAACCAACTTGTCATATATACAGCTTATGAAAATATTAAGATTTTATTTAATTTTACCAATTTTATCAAAAATAATTATAAATAGCGGATGTGATAGAATAATATTCGGCGTATGCCTATGGATTAATACAGACTGAATTCAAAATTTAAACTCGATGATTTTAAAATTTGCGATTGTTAGCATTGAACTCATTGTACTTTTCAAATTATGAGTTCAGAATTAATATATATTAAAATTTTAATAATTTTTCATACATATGTATATTTAAACTTTATATTAATAACATTAGATTTGGTTGAATTTGCGGCAGAAAAGCTGCAATCGACACTTCCTTTGAATCGTTACTTTATTAGTCATAGAATCATCTTTCCCACTCCCAAAAATTAATTACTTTTAGGCTGATAATTAAGGTTTTGACTTTGGAAAAGGGAATAATAAATAAAATCCAAAACGAAAACAAAAAAGTGGAGGAGTGAGTATTCAATTTAAATGGCGTAGAAGGTATGAACGTGGAAAACTAAGAACAGCTAAATTTGCTTAACGACCATCGGTTGGAATTCAAACGCGCAAAAAAGGAAAAAATATACACCCCAAACCTCGAAAAGGAAATATATATATAGGTGATGTTGACAAAGATATGTTCCAAAAATTACCTGGTAAAGTTGAACACCTTCTCCATTTCTAAATATCTGTGTTTCCTCTATTTTAAGTTGGACTTCCATAACTTTCATGACAATGACATTCACCAATGCTATGCTAGCCAAAACTTCATTACTTAGGTTACCTTCTCTTGGATTATCCTCCTGCCCTAATTTATTTGGTCACACGATTAATTAGCAACGGAGACGGAATCGGGATTTCAATACTTTATGAGTTCTAGATTTTAGAACGACAATTCCAAGTGTAAATAACTAAAAGGGCAGCTCAGTGCACAAAACATCCCGTATTCACTTAGGATCCGGGAAAGGACCGCACCTCTAAGGATATGATGTACACAACCTATCATAATGCAAGCATTAGTGGATGCATTCATGGCTTGAACCTGTGACCCAGAGAAGGATGTAGAGTTTGGCCACAGGTTCATCTGAACCCAGTACTTTCGACGCGGAGCATAAATTTATGGGTAAAAATTCATTACAATTGCAACAAATGGTAAGTCTGATCCATAACTTTGAAAATACAATGAGTTCAATGCTAAAACCTTAAAAGTTGAACCAACAGAATCTAAATCCTGCATCCACTGTATACGGTAGAGATCGTATGCTTTCGATCTATATGCTCGAGAGGTCGTCCAAAGTTCGAGTTCAGACAAGGTCGAGTTCGAGCTCGAGGGACCAGACCCGAGTTCGAAGACAGAGTGCGATACATACCGAAGTCGAGTATGCTCGACCCCGGAATAGTACCGTTATGGATTTGTAACATAATGGGCTAGATTCCTGCCACGTCCCCAAGATCATTACGCAAATCTCAGAATAGTATTGTACTATTCCGTACTAGGCGTTGTACCAAGAATATTCCTTACTGTAAATAGAAATATACCTTATTTAGGGTTCCCCTGTTATATAAAGTGGACCCCAATCATTGTAACATCATCTCATAATTGGCACGAATATACTATCCTACTTTTCTCTCTTACTGTTCATCAGAATTGTCCTTTAGCTCTACTGCTCTTACTTTACTTTTCTTACTTAATTGTTCTTATTGCTCTGAACCTACCTCGAGGTCACCACTGCTAAGTAACTTTGGTTTGATTCACGTAATTCTTTCATTTCTACTTCATATCACTTGATTATTTATTGGTATTGAATCTAATCACATATCTTTAAAACCACACATCAAATTCAATTGTTACTCGTATTTTCGAGGTAAACAGTTCGGCGCCCACCGTGGGGCAAAAGATAATAGTGATTGTTTCTTTACTGATTCTCATTACCCACGTTATTTTACAATTTTTCTTGTCAAGAATTTTTGATTCTCAGGCTGAAACATGTCTAGCTCACAAAATGCACATGTTCATGACAACGAAGGTCTTGGTGAAAACAATAATATACACTACTAGAAAAACGCTAATTTCTGACTGAAATTTTTTGTCGGAAGTCTCCGACGGAATCCGTCGGAATTTTCAAAAAAATATTTCATATATATTTTTAAAATTTTGTCGACCACATTTCCGACCAAATCGGTCAC